TGGCGAGGGTGCAGAGAAAGAGGAACCCTCTTGTACTGCTGGTGAGAATGCAAACTGGTGCATCCATTCTTGAAAACAGTATGGAGATTCCTCAAAAAAATAAAAATAGAACTACTCTAAGAACTCACAATTGCTCTACTAGGTATTTATCCAAAGGATACAGGTATGGCTGTTTGGAAGGGGCACATGCACTCAAATGTTCATAGCAGCACTATTAACAGTAGCTGGAAAGAGTCCAAATGTCTCTTGGTCTCTTGTGGATGGAACTAGAGTGTATTATGCTAAGTGAAATTAGTCAGCCAGAGACAGACAAATATCATATAACTTCACTTATATGAAGACTTTAAGATACAAAACAGATGAACATAAGGGAAGGGAAGCAAAAATAATATGAAAACAAAGAGGGGAACAAAACATAAGAAATTCTTAAATATGGAGAACAGAGGGTTGCTGGAGGGGTTGTGGGAAGAGGGATGAGCTAAATGAGTAAGGGGCATTAAAGACTCTACTATACTCTACTCTAATCATTGTTGCACTATATGTAACTAACTTGGATGTAAATTAAAAACTAAATAAATTATTTTTAAAAAGAGAGAGAACACTAAGAGTATGGTAGAATGACTATTTGATAAGGAGATTGATTTGGGTGTGAATCACAGACCTAATCAGATATCCTAGTAGGGACACTACCAGTTTGAACTGAAGGGGATGGAGAGGGGAGTCTGTTGGACTTCTTGGGTTTTACAGGACAGGACCACAGAGCTATTCACTGCAAATATGTGCTATTCTTCAAGACAGGGAAAGAATGACCGTGAATGAAATTCAAAATTCATCAGAGCTGCCTCCTCAGTTACAAATGGAGTTACTATTGTCTCAGTTTCAACAGGACAAACAGCCCCCACTCAACACCTTTGGGGTAGGGCATCCCAGAGTCTGGGATGCATGACCCTTACGCTGTAGGGCCTGGACCTCTGCCCCAGTGGGTCCAGAACGCAGAGTATGGAGTCAAAGAGAATTATTCTTTAGTCTTAAAATCTTATTAAATTTACCTTGCTAAGTTTGACTTGCTTGGGATCCATCAACCCTTCTTTCATTTTATTTCTCCCTTTTGGAATCAGAAGGCCTATCCTGTGTCTGTCTGACCTTTGCATTTTGCAACCACATATACTGTTTGGTTCCAGAGGTTCACATGTAGAGGGGAATTTTGCATCAGGATAAACCATACCATGAATCTCACCTATATCTGATTTAGATAATATTTAAATCAGACTTTTTGGATTTTAACAATAATATAAAAGTCAGACATCAGTAAAATAATTTAAGTGTTCTAAAATACTTTTATTGTCCAGAATGAGAGTAATAATATATTTTGAAAGATTACATGTTGTAATTTCTAGAGTAATCATTTAAAGAATAGAAAGAGTATATAACTTCCAAATTAACAAAGAGGAAAAGTGAAACTTAAAAAATTCAATGCTAAAGAAAACATGAGAGGACAGAAAAAAGCATAAAATCAACAGGGCAAATGAAAGAACAAAATAAAATGGCAAAATTAAATCCAAAGATATCAGTGATTACATGGAGTGTAAATGGACTAAATGCTCCATTTTAAAGACAAAAATTACAATAGATTTTTAAATTTAATAGTATGATGTTTATGAGAGACAAATCTAGATTACAATGTTATAAGAAGGTAATAAAATAATGGAAAAAGATATACCATGAAATGGTAGCCAAAGAAAGCTGGGCAACTACAGCAATATTGGATAGTAAGACAATCATTTTATAATGAAAAAGGTTCAATTCACTAGAAACATAATAATTCTAAATATTAATGTAATTGATAACATGGCCTAAACTATATTAAAAATTTATAAGGCAAAATTTGACACTACAAGGTAAAATACAAACCTGAAATTTCTCATTAACTGACAGAACATGCAAACAGAAAAATCAATAGATACAAAAGAGTTGAAAAATAGAGTGAACCAATTTGACCTAAGAGACATATACAGAACACCATACTCAACTACTATAGAATATATGTTATTTTCAAGCGCATACAGAGCATTTACAACAATTAACCATATATTGATTGATAACACATGTTAACTAATTACACAAAACTGAAATCATATGGAGTATATCCTCAACCATGTAATTGTGCTAAAAAGCTATAGTCAAAAGATAATTAGAATAGCCTCAAATATTTTGAATGAAGATATATGCTTCTAAATTACCAATGGGACAGAGAAAGAAATCATAATAGAAAATAGAAAAAATAGCCATGATATTCTTGGAGAACAAAGTTGGAAGACTTGCTCTATCAGATTCAAGGGTTATTTTAAGCTACATAAATTAATGTGGTATGGTGTTAATGAACAAACAGACAAATAATGAAACAGAACAAAAGCCCCAGAGCAAAGAGCCCAGAATATTAGGGCTTTTTAGAGCCCTATTTTAAGAATAGCCTTTTTAAAAAATTATTTTTTAAATGTTTATATATTTTTGAGAGAGAGAGAGAGAGAGAGAGAGATAAAGAGTATAAATGGAGAAGGGGCAGAGAGAGGGAGACACAGAATCTGAAGCAGGTTAAAGGCTCTGTCAGCATAGAGTTGGACACGGGGCTGGAACTCACAAACCATGAGATCATGACCTGAGCAGAAGTTGGACACTTAACTGACTGAGTCACCAAGTTCCCCAAGAATAGTCTTTTAAATAACATGCTCAGATAACTCTATATCCACATGAAAAAAATAAACTTGACCCTTACCTCACTCAAAATTTAATTCCAGGTAGACTTTAGGCCTAAATATAAAAAGAAGAACTAAAGTCTTTTACAATATAAATAGGAGAAGGTCTTCATCATCACAGAGCAGGGAACAATTCCTTAAATATGCTACAAAGCATCCTAAACAAATGGTGAAAGATGTGGTATACTTCACTTTATTAAAGTGAAAGAATTTCTCTTCATCAAAAAGACATCATAGAGTAAAAAAAGAGAAAATATTCACAACACAGAAAACCAACAAAAAAACTAGTCACCAAAATATATAAAGAAATTAATGAGAAAAGGACAAAAACCTACTTTTAAAATGAGCTAAGGCTTGGATGATTTCCAAAGTGTAAATTTACTTGGTCTTATGAAAAAGTTCTTAAACTTACTAGTAATCACAGAAATGCAAATTAAAACATAATGATATACTATTACATATCCAGTAGATTGCAAAAATAAAAATCTGGCAGTTCTTATCTTAGCAAGAAAGCAGAACAAAAAGAATTCTCCCAAATCTGACAGGAGTATAAAACGGTACAAATACATTGGAAAGTTTGTCAGTATTTATACAGTTGAAGATAAGTACATTTGGCAATATAAATCCTGGATATATACTCTCAAAAAATACACATATGCAACAGGAGCATAAACAAGAATGTTCATTTCATCATTGTAATGGTTGAGAAACTAAAACTTAAAATTTCAACAGTAGAATAGATGAGTTGTGATATACAATTGATCCTTGAATACCATAGGTTTGAACTGCATGAATCCACTTACATATGGATTTTTTGATAGTACAACACTGTAAATGTATTTTCTTATCCTTATGATTCTCTTAATAACATTTTTCTTTAGCTTACTTTATTATAAGAAGATAACATATAATACATATAAAGACAAAATATGTTTATATTATTGGAAAGGTTTCTGGTCAACGATAGGCTAATAATTGTTAAATTTGGGGGGAATCACAAGTTATATGTGGATTTTTAACTGTGCTTTGGAGTCAGTGCCCCTGATGAAGTTGTTTAAGGGTCAACTGTACAGGATTTTAATGATGGAGAAGATAAATTAAGAAGGGAGACTGAGGAGTGAAATAGCAGGAAAACAAGAGATATGGGTTCCAAAACCCCTAAGAGGAGAGTTTTCAGAAGTAAGGAATTATTGACCAACTATATTTGTTATAGAAAGGTGGAAGAAAATAAAAACAGAAAACTATTATTTGGATTTAGCAAAGGAGATTGATCAGTGCAACTTCAGTGAGATGGTGGAGACAGAATCCAGACTAGAGTTGTCTGAAGTTTGAACAAAAGTGGAAGTAGAGACAGTGTATATAAACAAATCATTTGAGAATTTAGATGATGAAGAGTATTAGAGAAGTGAGGCAGTATGGGGCAATGTGGAGTAAAGGAGCCTTACTCAGTCAAAGAGGTCAATGAGAATGATGCAATCGAATGGTATTTTGATAATTCCAGAGAAAGAAACAAAAGGAACACAAAACACTCAAATTCGCTGAAGATCGGCCGTGCTTGTTCTTAGCTGACAGATTCCTTAATGTTCTAAGAAAGTTCCTTTACAGTTTCTGTAAAGTTAGTTTTTATTAAGCAAGATGTCCATACTCGATTGATTTTTTAACAATAAAGAAACTCTTAGGGTTGAGCTTAAAGGAAACTCGGATGCTTTCTTTCAAGAAAAATAAATATATAAACAAAAATATATTCTTAATTTGTGAATTGTATAAATTGTCCATTCTGATATTTAACATCTCTACCTCTCAGGAAATTCTTCTTTATAGCTCACTGAAATCTTTCACACTGCAGTTATACACCATATGCTTTCAAGAAAATTCTTTCAACAGAAACATCCAATGGTCAAGAACTTTTAAGATATACATTAATAAGGGGCGCCTGGGTGGCTCAGTCAGTTGAGCATCCAGCTTCAGCTCAGGTCATGATCTCACAGTTCCTGGGTTCAAGCCCCACATCAGGCTCTGTGCTGATAGCCAGCTCAGAGCCTGGAGCCTGCTTTGGATTCTGTGTCTCCCTCTCTCTCTGACCCTCTCCTGCTCACACTGTCTCTTTCTCTCTCTCAGAAATAATAATAAAAAAACAAACAAAACATTAAAAAAGATATACATTAATAAATAACAAAGTATATGATAAAAGCAAAAGCACTCATTCGTAAGTTAAAGGAGAAGTAAATATGTTATGCACAGCCTTACCTATTGACTTCCTTTCTTTATTTTTTGTATTTGTTGGTACAAAGTGTGGCATAAAATCATTCTTTGTAGGTTCAGGTTCATTTTTAAAGGTGATATATCTAGAAAAAATAAAAGTAATCTAAGTTAAAATAACCAGAAAAATCTACAAAACTAATCTAAAAATAAATTTTGAGAAATGTGGTGAAGTCCCAATTACATAGATTAAGATGTTGTTGTATTAATACTATTATGGTACAGAGTGTAAAACGTTGGTACTAAGCCAGAGATGAAAGTATTAGGGATAATCCCTTGCAGTAGAGACAGACAGGAAGCTACTGTTGTCATAGAGAGGGCACTCTAGGAAACTATAGTTCACAAGCTGATTAACCTTTTTTAAAAATATGCTGGAAATTCATTAAATGAGATATTGGGGACTTTGTCGGACATAAGTCAAGGTGATGGGACTCAGAGTTAGGGTCAGTTCAGATAACAAAATAATATACCAGATAGGATCATAGCATTTATTTATTATAAGAGAAAATTTCTCCACTAAATCCTTTGACTACTGATGGTGTGTAATAAAGTTAATAGTATTACATTATTCATTATATTTCTGACCTCTAAACACTGGAATAATCCATGACTCAGTCTTTTGACCTCAAACACTCATCCTCAGTTGATATCTAATCTCATATCTTCACATATTATCTAAAGGGTCATTTATAAAGGGAGATTTATAAATCCAGGTGTTCAAACTCCTCTCTGAGCTCCAGATTTATATATCCAACTGCTACGTGACTTCTGCTATCATAGGCATCTCAAACTTAACACATTCAAAACCTTATCTTTGCTTCTGCTTCCTTCCGAATCTTTGAGGCTTCCCCATCTCCATTCAAACAAAGCCTTAGGCCCAAAACTCGACAATATCTCTGATTTCTTTCTCTCACTCCTCATTCCCAACTGTTGGTAAGCCTCACTAGATCTTTCTTTGAAATACATCCCAAATCCAACTACTTCTTTCCTTATTACTTCTACCCAAGTCCAAGACACCTTCCCATCTGAGCTACTTCCATGTATCTGTTGCCTTCTGCCTGCTGTCTCGGCTATCACTCATCCCCTACAGTCTATTTCCAATGCGGTCATGGTGGCATCTGTAAAATAAACATGTGATTGCCATTTCCCTCCAAATGTTTTCTACTGGACTCAAATAAAATTCAAAATTCTCACTCCAAGAATATTCCCCAGCTATTACCAAGAGTTACTCCCTTAAGTTATAAGAGAGCATTTTGTAAGACCCTGCTCAATTTCAATCTCTGTACAACCTTTAATTTACTATCATTTTCTTCATAGTACTTATCACTAATGGATTTACATTAAATATTCATTTGTTCATTTAGTTTATTATCTGTCTTCCCACCTTATCCTAAAATGTAAATTGAGGGCAGATTTTGTTCACTCTGGTATTCCCAGCACCTAGCACATTGACTGGCACATAGTACAAGCGCAATAAAAATCTGCTGAGTGCACAAATTGTCCTGGTAAATTTTTATTAAACTTTCTTATTATCTTCTAACTTCCAATGAGACTTTAGTTTATTCTCTTTGGATCAGTAAACATTCATTTAATCTTCATAAAACATTTTATTCCTTTCAAAAAATGTATATTTTTGTCTTATGTTCTTATCTAATATCATTGGCAAGTACTTCTAGAATAGTATAGTATACTGGTTAGAATGAGAATCCTTCTGCTTCTGATTTAAATGGGAATGTGTCAAGAGTTCCATTCTAAGGCTGAAGTTGGCTATATAGTCTTGTTAAGGAGTAATTTTTTTTTTATCTTTATCTTACTAAGGTATTTTTCAAATACACTTACACAATATATAGAGATGTTTGAATATGGATTTCCTTATGGTGAACCAAAGAGTGTGGAGTTTGGAGTCGGACCTTACTTTGCATCTTGACTCTATGTGAAGTTCTGCAGAATACTGATTTCCTTTGAATCTGTCCTTCACAGGCCAAATGTGGTAATAGCTACCTTATAGGGTTAGTATAAGAATTATGTAAAATAAAGTTTAGAAGTTGCTTAACAAAACGTTTGGGACATAGGAAGAGGTCAAATTTCAGTTCAGTTGTTTTATTCTTAGCTGGGATGGTTTATAAGATTCATTATACACAAACTCTGTTCTAAACTGATCTTGACTTTCTTTTCTAGTTTGTATAGTCTCTTGTCATATTGTTTAAAAACTTTATTATATGGATTAATTTTAAGGATTTAGTTGACTAATAATTAAAATATAAATCCTGCTGCCCAGAAGCAGAGAGGCTTATGGGATAGATAAATGGGGTATATAAATAGAGTCCTATAGAGAACTGTATCAGTTCTCTGAGCCTCAATTCCACAAGGCAACAAGCAGAGGGCCAGATGACTTCTCCACATACAGTAAGTTACTAGGAGAGTGGAACCCTGAGCTTACAGAATGCAAATCTTTTAAAATGAAGAGTAATATACCTGTTCTTGTTCAAAGAAAAGCACTACTTCTTTCAAGTTTGTTTGTTATATAAAAACTCTTGAGAAGCTAGCTAGGAACAAGGTAACCAGTGCCTCTGCTTGCAAGATGCACAGAAATACAAAAGATTGATGGAGAATTTCTTCTCAACAGTAGGAAGAAGAAACGGGAGGATAAGAGCCTAAGAATAAAAACTGAGTTCTTCACATTACGTTCTCATGCATATAAAGAATGGAACTTGGATTATGAATTTGGTGGTTTAATTCACTAGCACAAAATCATAAATCTGTTTTTTATAAGCTTTATTGGTTTTGAACTGCTTATATATTTTTAATTGATCCACCTTCACTCACTCTTTCATGGTCTTATATTTAGAAAAATCCCCTGTGAAATTACACCCTGTTGCAGTTGAGTTAAAGGGAATATAGGTAAAGGCCTTGACTCTGTGCTGCCTGGACTGGAGTTAAAGGAAGGAATGGATATGAAATGTCGTTGGCACACAAAAGGAAGAAACCCAAGAGCAGGACACAGCCCAGATGGAAGCATGGGGATTGCTTTAAAAGCTGCCTCTTCCCAACTAGGAATCTGTTATGGGTAACTTCCCTGGAAATGCTTTGGAATGTTTTATGATTTTACAGAACAGCCACTGTCAGATGGAAGAACAGACCTTTCATTCTGGTATCATGGGATCATTCCAAATATATATATTTTTGTCATAAAGACATCCCGTTTGGATCTTTATTTCACTTATATTTGATTTTAACTTAGATAAAACATTTCTCCAGGTAAATTTCTCAGAAAGAATATATAGGTGGATTACCTTCTAAAGATTTTCATATCCAAAAATTTCTCCTTTCTTCTCATATATAAATGATGATTCATCTAAATAGAGGATTGCTGGATTGCCATTCTGTTCAAAGGTTTAAAACTGTTCATTGTCTTCTAGTCTCAGAGATGCAGATGAGACATATGAAACTCATTTGACTTCATTTCCTTTGTAATTAACCAATATTTTTCTGCCTTTGGACTTAAATAATTTTACTGTAAGTCTAGCAGTTGGTAATCCTTTTTATCTGAAAATTCAAGTCTGTCTTCACAAAATGTCATTTTTTCCCTTAATATTTCCTTACCATGTTTCTTACTTTCCTGATTTATGTAGTAGGTATATATTTACAGGTTGACTATCTTGAAACCTTACTATATATCCCTTTTCAATCTTTTCCATTTTATTTTTTGTATTTTCTTAAGATTTTGCTTCTATTTGACCTTCTAGACTATCAATCCAGTTTTTATCTGTATGCTATTTTTATTTTTCTACTCAATTTTTTAAAATATTTTTATTTATTTCTAGGAGAGAGAGAGAGACAGCGCGAGCAGGGGAGGGTCAGAGAGAGAGGGAGACACAGACTCTGAAACAGGCTCCAGGCTCTGAGCTGGCAGTCAGCATGACCTGGGATTTCTCTTTGACCTCTCATTTCAGTGAGTGTGAGTTCCCTCAGCATATATAAATGTCAGGCTATTTGAGATACAGGTAATATCAGTCAGTGAGAGAGAAGATTATTTTGCAGAGTATCAGTGGCAAACAAGCTGTCATAGGAGAGTCTCTTGATTGAGGGAGTAACAAATGAAGAGGCCTCTAGAAATGTTTCTTAAATTTCCATATGTATATTAGAACTATCTAGGGTGCTCTGAAAAAACTCCAATGCCCACACTCCTCCCCCCAACCCCCCCTCAGAGTTAAATCATGATCTCTAGGCAGGGTTCAGCATATTTTACAAAAAGCTGTCAAGTAGGCAGTCAGTGTAAAGAGGCCCTCCTCTAGAATGTCAGGTTTATCCAGGTATGAGCAATAATAAGGAGTCCTCTTCCAGCTACAGAGAAGAGAAAGTGTTCAACTCAGTAGTGAACCTCTCCCCACAGAGCGCTGGAGTTGAGACTGTTACCTCCCCAGAATCCTCTTGGAGCCTTGAAGGAGCCTGTGCCTGCATAATTGAGAAATGGTGTGGGCATCAGGAATGAGACATGAATCTCTGCTACCACTCACATAAAAGCCTCCATCTTCTCTATCCTTCCTGTTCCCAGCCCACCTCACCCTACTTACCTGTAAGTCATATTTTACCTAAGATTTTAGAAATGATTGCTATATGTAAATATGGCTTGTGACTCTCATTACTATCTTATTTTTAATGATTAGAATATATGGTTGTATATTTCAAAAATACAGCATATTTTTCTATTTTTTTAGTATTGATTTCAAAAGTAGAACCTAGTGATTCATCATTAACATACCACACCCAAAGCTCATCACAAGTGCCCATCCCCCACCCACCACCCCTCCAGCAATCCTCAGTTTCTTCTCTGTATTTAAGAGTCTCTTATGGTTTGCCTCTTTTTCTGTTTTTATCTTATTTTGCCTTCCTTTGCCTATGTTTAATACAGCTTATATTTTTATTGCTGAGTTTTGTTTTTGTTTTGTTCTTTTCTGAGTGCCTATTTTAAACTCTTCACACATTTCAATACATTTAACTTGCAAAACAACCCTATGGAATACATACTATTATTATCCACACTGTAAATATGAGCAGACTGAGACACAAAAGATTATATAACTAGTCCAAGGTCACAACTAGTAGAAAGCAAAGCTAAGATACAAACCTGGCAACTGACCTATAAACCTCTTCTTAATCTCTATGCCAGGCTAATGTCACAGTGTACAAGACATGCATATTGAACTAAAGGAAGAAGGAATTTGACCAATTAAATTTCACTATAGACTTTAAGAGAATCCTTTATTAATATTTAACTCTCTTTCCTATATGCAAGTTTATCCTATTGTCATAAAAGTTTTTCTAAAAGTAATATTCTTTTGACAGGTCTCAGTATAGATTTCTTTATAGGAAAATAAATCTTCTAATGAATAGCCCCTATTAATCTATTAATCTAAAGGAAAATATTCTTGGGGCACCTATATGGCTCAGTCAGTTAAGTGTCTAACTCTCGATTTCAGCTCAGGTCATGATCTCATCATTCTTGAGTTTGAGCTCTGAATAGCCTTCTGCACTGATAGAATCCTGCTTGGAATTTTCTCTCCCTCTCTCTCTGCCCCTCCCCTGCTCTTGCTCTCTCTCTCTCTCAAAATAAATAAACTTAAAAAAAAGAAAAATATCATTTTTTTGTAATTTCAGTAGCCTTGAATTATTTCCCGAGGTAACTTTCAGTGACAATTTAAATACCTTTAATCAATCTCCTTACCCCTAACTTGTTTTCTATTTCTTATCGCTTTATAAATGCTAAAATGGCCATTTTCATCTGATAATGCAATATTAATGCTTAAAAAATAGAAAAATCACTTTGTCTTTCTTTTATTTTTTCAAAGGAGAGAGAGAGAAAGAGAGAGAGCAAGCTCACCAGAGGAGGAGGGGCAGAGAGAGAGAGGGAGAGAAAGAATCCCAAGAAGGCCCCACATTGTCAGCACAGAGCCACACTAGGGGCTTGATCCCATGGATCTGAAGATCATGACCTGAGCTGAAACCAAAAGCTGCACACAAACAACTGAGCCACCTGGGTGCCTCTCTTGTATTTCCTTTAAAATACCTTATTCTAGGTAAGTTTTAAAAGGAAGTTTTGCTAACATGAATATGACTTTTCTGTAAAAGGTCCACTTATGAAAAGTTGCAGAGAAGAGTAGATTTGGTGTTTACTGAGAAATCTTAGAGACTATATACAGATTAACTGAGGTCTCTCAGTTAATATTTTAATATTTAATCGGTTCCCATTTATCTGAGAAAAATGCAAAAATCCTGAGCTAATAGTTACATGTCTCTGGGAGTAACTGAGAAAAAAAAACCCTAATAATTTGAATAGTTCTCAATCTTAGTTTTATGTAAGAATCTTTTGGGGAATCTTAAAAATAGTAATACCTGGGATTTACTCCAAACTAATTAAAGTAGAATCCAATTATTTTAAAGCTCCCTGAGTAATACTAATGTGCAGGTGGGTTGAAAACTACTACTCTGAAGGTGAAGCACAGCTACAAATAAACCTGGTAAGGTTTCATCAGTTAGGTGATCACAGCACCAGGCTGTGATATTCGGCAAACTGTATGGGAGAAAACTGGAATGAACAGATGTTAGTGTTGGGCAGCTAGATCAGCAGAATATAAGCTAGAGCAGAAAGACTCAAAGGTTGGTCCCTGGACCAGCAGCACCAGCATTTCCTGGAAACTTACTAGACATGCAAATTATCAGGCCCCACACAGACCTCCCCAATCAAAAATACTGAATCAAAAACTCTGCAAGTGCAGCCCAGCAATCCATGTTTTAAAGAGCCCTTCACGTTTGAGAACCACTGAGCTAGAACAGTGCATCTCTGTCATTAGTCTTCACATGAATCAGCTGTGTGAAGTACATCTGCCATCATGGCTCAGTGTAGGAGTGAGGTTTGTGAGCACTGGTGGAGACTGGCATCCTGAATTATAATTAACAAAACTTACAAGACCAGGTCCCTGTATCTCCAGATACAGAGGAACTGAATTTACCCAATATAACCAATGTAACCTGGATATCATTGTTGATATGAGGACAGAAATGTTCTGTCTTATGCTCTGTTACTTAAGCAATCATTCTGTTACAGCTAAAAAGGACCCCCTGACAAGAATGGGTGGCTTCCTAGAAGAAGAATGCCCCCTCATGAATGCCCCACAGACTTCTAAAACTTAATATATCCAAAGTAAAACTCAAACCTCATCACTGTAATCCTCGTATCCACCCCAATCTGTGTTTCATCATATATTCTCAGTATAAGTACAAAATGTTATAATGCACTTAATAACCAAGCCTGAAAACTGCAAGTCATTCTACATTCAGAATGGGGTAGTGATAAATTCGTCATCCAACATTCATCTAGCTGCATGAGTAATAAAGAGCACAGGTACTGAAATTGGACTGCTAGAGTTTAAATCCAGCTTGAGCCACTTATCTGTGTGACCATGGGCAAGTTATTTAACCCCACCCAGATGGACTTTTCATCTATAAAATTGCACTGAACATATTGAATGGTTACACAGAATAAATGAGGTTAGAACAGTGTCCATACTACCACCAAGGTACAATAGAAGTTCTATTGATTCTACATCTTATTATTTCTTTTGTCTGGCCTCTCCTCTACATTTCTGATGCCTAGAAAAATTATATAGCATTACACACATCCACAATGCCAGTGAAAGACCAAGTATGACATATTCAGGCTACTTCTTATAAGTACACAGAGAAACTGCCTTACTTGGTTGGGGGACTTCCTTTGGCAGTCTATTGGTCTAAAGTTTGAAATAAATCCTGACATTAATCTGGGGCACTGTAACAGAATTCAAGACAAGTCTTTCCTTAAAAATCCAGAATTATAATTACTATCTAATAACCATCTGTAATAGTAAAATGTTACAATAAATATTTTACAAACTAATTTATTCAGAATGCTGATTAAGTGTTTTATAACTCATAAGTGCAATGAAAAATGCCTATGTTTGACAAAACTTACATTTAATACAGATTACATAATCTAAGGCAAATCTACAGTAATGCTTTAAAACTTCAAACTGAAAGTTTGAGGTAATTAGGATGGTTACCTTTTTGGTTTTTTAATACCACATGACTTGTCTTCTGTGATCCTGGATACTTTCTGAGATGTAGATGGAGCAATAGCCTCTTCAAATTCCAACTGCAAGTCAAATGTCAGTGGTGTAACCAAAGTCTTTTTCTTTACTTGACTCTGAAGCCCGTTTTTCTGCAATAAATCCAAAGTATAACACTGTGAAAAAAACGAGCACTTTTCATATAGAGAAAATCCTGTATAGAACAGATGAAATTAGTCTCACTTTATGCACTCACACAGAATTTATGTCCCAGTCACTAATGGCAAAATATTACAGATTAAAAACTGGGGCCCTTGTGTACCAACATTTTTTTATACCGTTGCTGTGTGACCTAAGCTACTCTTTTCCCATCGATGAAATGATAGGATGTTAGACTAGATGATCATGAAAGCTCCCTCCTAATTCTAAAATTCATAATGTAAGAATGACCTATATATTACACAAGGAAAATATTGATACATAGAGTTATTGGAAGAGGAGGAAGCTGGTCTCTAACCCGCTGCTCTTGCTCTCCCCATGCGTGTGGTGAATCACTCCAACATTCATCTTGTTGTATGAGCCAGAAACAAGTGAAGAAAGCAATCAAAAGACTTTGTTCAAATATTTATATAGATGGGCTGAAGAGGGAAAAAGATATAGCTAATGAGTTAGTGAAGGAGCCAGAAATCTTTTCTAAAAAATTCTCTCAGCACTGCACAGAGGAATAAAGTGTTGAAAAATTTTGAAAACAAGTCAAAGGATAGGAACTTCTGCTTCCGCCAATAAAGGATTAAGTGCTATAGGAAAAGCCCTCCTGCCGTAAACAACTAGAAAACCAGACAAAACATATGAAAACAACTGTAATCAGGCATTAGAGAACAGGCAGAGGGGGGACTATAATCTCTGAGAAAAGGGAAACAAATGAGGTAAATCCCACAATGGCTCAGCTTGCTTATTGAAGGCAGTTTCCAGGCTGAGAGGCAGGGAGGGGAAACTCACATCAAACCTTGTGGCCTTGACCTTGTTACATTTAAGAGACATAACTTATACCAATAATTACATTCTTGAGTACTATCCCAGGGAAATGAAAGCTTATGTTCACACAAAAACCTGTACACAAATATTCACAGCAGTTCTCTTTAATCTTTTTTTAAAGCAGCTTTATTTTTAAAAGTAAAATACTAAAAACAACCCAAATGTCCTTCAATAGGTGAGTGGTTGGTACTCTGTACACCCATACAATGGCACACTACTCAGCAATAAAATTTATACATTGTTTATAATAATAAAGCTATTGATTCATGCAGAAACTTAAAAGGGCCCCACGGTCATCATGCTTAGTGAAAAATCAATCTCAAAATTTCACATACCAAATGATTCCATTTACATAACATTATCAAAATTACTAAATTATAAAGATTGGAGAACAGATTAGCCATTGCCAAGGGTAGGTGGAGAATGAAGTAGGGATATGGATACAAATACAGAGAAGTAACATGAGAGCGTTTTTTCATGGTGATGGGAACATGCTGTATCTTGATTGTGGTAGTGATTGCACAAATCTGTTATGGGATAAAATTGATGAACTTATACAGACAAATGAATGCAGGTTTAAAAATGGTGAAAACTAAATGAAATCTGTAGTCTGGTTAATGGTAATACACCAATGTTAATATGGGTTGGGACTCATACTGGCTTTGGTATTGTACACTACCCATATAAGATGTCACTACTGGGGGCAACTGGGTAAAAGGGAAATGGGACTCTGTAGTACCTCTGCAACTTCCTGTAAGTTGATAATTGTTTCAAAATATAAAGGTTAAGAAAATAAGCAATTACCAAAGAGATTTATATATTTGCATCTCATTTTTTGGTCGTTAAAAAAGAAAACAGACAATTCACCTTCGTAAATGTATGTAGGTATATGTATGTGTACCTGTATTTTTATATTGTGAGTATATGTAAAGATAAATGGGTTTATACATACATATATAATATATGTATATCTTTGTAAGAGCACAAAAGAAGATGCAGATGAAGGGGCGCCTGGGTGGCTCAGTCAGTTAAGTGTCTGACTTCGGCTCAGGTCATGATCTCATGGTTTGTGGGTTCGAGCCCCATGTTGGGCTCTGTGCTGACAGCTAGCTCAGAGCCTGGAGCCTGTCTTTGGATTCTGTGTCTCCCTCTCTCTCTAACCTTCCCCTGTTCACGCTGTCTCTCTCTCTTTCTCTCTCAGAAATAAAAAAAATAAAATAAAAAAAAAGAAGATGCAGATGAATAAAATCAAATTGCTAAATTTTGTTTGCCTCAAGGAAGCAGTTGAAGAGGCCAAAAATAATTTTTCTTTATGTTATTTCCTTTAAGCATAATTTATATATATATAATTGGTTCTAGGGTCATGGGATTGAGCCCACATTAGGCTCCATGATCAGCATGAGCCTGTTTAAGTTTCTCTCTCTCTCTCTCTCTCTCCCTCTGCCCCCAGCTCCACTCATGCTCTCTATCTCTAAAATAAATATAATAAATAAATAAATAAATAAAATTCAAAATAAAAAATTTAAATTTGATTATATATACTTTGAAAAGAATTTCCAGAGAATCTTTTATTAGTAACACATGAACTAGGCATAGTAACACAAAAAGAATATTTATGGAAATGGTTTATACAAAAGAAGACCCTAGTAAAAAAGGTAGGAATTATTATTACTAAACATAATTTAAAATTCATATAAAAGGGAATTTCAGGACAAATTAAATAGATTTATCACTGATTAAATTTTCTAAATTTCATTTTAAACAAAAAAATTAAAAAGGAATGAACTTTGGGGTGCTTAAATCTAATATGGCTGCTTTAGTAAGTTACTCCTGGTTTGCTACTTCAAAATTTGAAGTAGGAATAAAAGAAGGCATTTATTGTTTTTTCCAATACTTCTCTATTTTTTGAATGAAAGGAGACAACTATGAAAAAAAAGAAAAGTTACTATTCAAGCATTAACATTTTGATCTTCAGGTTCACAAATATGTTCTGTCACTTCAGAGTTCCTCTTTGTAATGTCTTCTTTGATTTCTCAAACTCTATGCTCTTTATGCCTCATTTATTCACATTGTTAAATAATTTTACAAGTCTTTGTGTAACCAAATTAAATTGATCGTATGTACTAAAAATCTAGTTTTTGAAAACGAGATTCTTTATTAACATTTTATATTGAATTTTATAATAGTCTCACCTTGTTTAATTCTTATGACCTTTATTTTTAATTTGGCAGCTATACCAAATATTTTCTTCCTTTTAATAAGTGAATTACATAACTTTTTATATGTTTAACTTATTAGTGAGAACTATAGGAGTAGTCACATTTACTATTTGACTGCCTATTTGATTTTTTTTAATTTTTTTTTAATGTTTTATTTATTTCTAGGAGAGAGACAGCGTGAGCAGGGGAGGGTCAGAGAGAGAGGGAGTCACAGACTGAAACAGGCTCCAGGCTCCGAGCTGGCAGTCAGCACAGAGCCCGACGCGGGGCTCGAACCCACGAACCGCGAGATCATGACCTAAGTGAAAGTCGGACGCTTAACTGACTAAGCCACCCAGGCGCCCCGACTGCCTATTTGATTTTTTTATCTTAATCACCTTAGATACATTATATCCTAATATAATATGGCAGCTATCCAGAAGTCACCTTGTATACCTAATTAATTCTTTATGGCATATACTTACATAGATGACTTTTTGAACATGATTTGCTTTTTACAAATTAGTTTACAACTACGGCATCATTAAAAAATAAAGATAATCATTCACATTTGGAATAATAACATTTTAATGATTAAATTTAATTTTAGCTTTTATTTACAAACCTTTTCTCTTCCAGCCAAGATTATCTTTTCCTGCTTATCCAGAATATCTAACTTCTCTAAGATTCTTTCTGCCATTTTCAGTCAATAAATTCCTATTAAAAAGGAGACAAAAGGAAAAAATCTCCAAAACAATTAAAATTTATACATATAATTGATTATTTAGGCATAAGTTAAGAGATCCACATTTACATTTCTGTTTGATATAATTGATTATTTAGGCATAAGTTAAGAGATCCACATTTACATTTCTGTTTGGGGTACAAAATAGAACTGTGTAGATAATGGAATAGATCATGGAATTGTAGGGGTACCCAGGTTTTTTAGACAAAGTTCACATGATCAGAGCTCCCAGATGTGTATGGGCCTTAGGAATTTTTAAATGTAAGATAAAGAGAAGTTGAACCAGATATGACTCATACTTGAAGTAAGAACATGTGACTTGATTGATATCTATTTTCTTCTTTTTGTGATATAATTTTAATTAAAGTAAATGTGAAGAGCTCACATGTGTATAATTAATTGCATTCAAATTAAATTGGTCAATGATCCAAAACTGTTAACACAGCACTTAGAAGGCGATCAGTCACACAGAAGGAGCAGCTGTCAAGCGGTTGGGTCCTACTGTCAGAATAATAAATATTCTCTAGTCAATTAATGTTACTGAAAATTACATCTGGGGTCAGGCAGTCTATATTAGGCTCGGGGGCTGAATGTTAGACATCAGGACACAAAGTACCTTTCCAATGCAATACAAATAGCTAGAAGCAGAGTAGAGGCAAGAATCAGAATATTAACCCAAAGCTATATTTTTGCTCAGTGAATTGAATGGGGTCCAGTGGCATTTAAATGTAAAAGTTGTATGGTTGATAGAAAGTACTGAATTCATCAATATTTCTAAGGCACATCGATGTCAACATTAAGGTTCTTTCTGGCTCAAAAATGTCTATGCTATTTCTCCCATATTGTATATTATTCAATCAATATCTCACAAAGACAATAATGTATGAAAAGACAAGGATTTCTTTTAGCTGTCTTTTCTACTATTGTACTCTTCTGGGCCATGGGGCTGCAAGGCAGACTGTTTGCTTTGTTACAAATATCATAACCTGAAGTTGCAGATTGGAGACAGGATATGCAGGCAAGGGTGTTAGCACAATTATGAGTACCTCTGACTTTCTGGGTCTCCTATTGAAGAGTAAGGGACAGATTTTGGTAGAGAATATAGATTATCTGGATGCTGTGTTGTCTTTCCAGATCCAGGAACCAATCCTCTCATATATCCTAAAAGCAACTAAAGGAATCTTAGTTTCTGTGTTTTCCTTATGCATAATATGAGTTCAATGAGGGTGGAAAAGGCTCCCATATTTCTCACCAAAATTTCTTTTACTGGAGACAAAGATTTCTATTTCTCAATCAGGGAAAGAAGAGCAAATAACTGTAGGAATTAGCCTATTGAAGTGAATGGGCTTCCCAGTTTGGGGAAAGTACAAATGACACAAGGAACAAGTGAAACACATGGCTTCCTTGTGAGAGGGAACAGAAAGCAGGTGTTTTAGAAGTGTAAGATGTCCTACACCTCTCACTTTTCACACATCTTCAACATCACAACAGACATTTTAGGATGCACCATATCATCACGTTATACACACACACACACACACACACACACACAGCTGTAATTTGAAGGAATTATGTTTTTTATTTAAAATTATTTTGCTATAGTAAATGATATGATTCCTGGCAAATAACTGTACATATCATGAGGTTTTTTTTAAATGTTTATTTATTTTTGAGAGAAAGAGATCATGAGTGGGGAGGGGTAGAGAGAGAGGGAGACACAAAATCCAAAGCAGGTTCCAGGCTCTGAGCTGTCAGCACAGAGCCCAACACAGGGCTCGAACCCGGGAACTGTGAGATCATGACCTGAGCCGAAGTCAGACGCTTAACCAGCTATGAGTATGGTTTTTTTGAAGGGAGAAAATCTAACCAACAAGTTATTTTTAAGTGTCAATGACAGTTTTTGAATACTAAATTTGAAGTTAATGAAGTTGATAGAATGTTATTAATTCTAGTTTTGTAGTTTATTTTCATATTTTGAAGCCTATACTGTTTTCAGTTTGCAAACGTTTTCATAAGTCTTTGGCAATGTGCCAGTGGTTTCTAATGGCTAAATGGCCCTGGATAAAGTGGAGGTGAGGAAACACTATAGACTAACTTTTTGCTTTCATCATTATACCAAGGGTATCAAGGGCTTAGCTGTATCAGACAGGTCTAATATGATGGTGTATCCCAACTGCTTTGCATAAACTAAAAACTAATCCTTTAATGCTAGATTCTGCATTGTGTGTTCCTCTATATGACCTTCTGGGTTTCAGCCCTTTCTTGATTCAATCATTTTTGCTTTCATTTCATTTCCAGAATATTGGCTTCATACTTTTACTTCATACATCTCTTTCTATGGGCACATATTTTACTTCATTATTCTATTTCTGTAAACATATATTATCATTTGATGGAATGAATTTATTTGTTCATTTCTTCATTTGGCTACCCAACTGTATTACATGAGAGACATTGTGCTAGGTACTCCATTAAATTTATTGAGGAAGGTGGTACCTGGTAGACATTATCTTCTTGGGCAAGGCAGATGGGCTCTCCTGTATCACTAAGAAAACAGAGACCATCAAGAAAAATACTTCAACTTCTCTCTCTCATGCTAAAGTCTTATTTGCATCAATTCCTATCTCATCTGTTTTTAATTTTAATGAAATTGTTGTCTCTCCTTTTCAAAGCTAACCCCTCCCAGTGTACTCTAGACTCAGTTACCTCTGTCCCCCTAAAAGAATTATTTTCATTGGTGTGCCCTCTCTCTAGTATCTGTCAATCTCTTTTCTTTACCATGCTTCTCCTTAGCATGTTCATACCTCTTCTGGTGTTGAAAAAGAAAAAAGAAATTCTTCCTCTAACCCCATTAGCTGTTATTCTCTCTCATCTTCCCTTATTGACAAATTCTTAAATTGCTCATCTATACTTAGGGCTTCTAATTTCTTACATTTCTTTTCCTTCTTAATTTACCACGATTTGGTTTTCTTCTATACTATGGTACTATATATGCTCTCATATGTCTCACCAAAATCACCATCTTTATAAATTAGTGGGCAATTTTCTGCTCTTATTTACCTTATTTGAGTATCTACAACTCTTGTTAATATTGGCCACTCTTTTCTATGGAAATTCTGCCCTCTCTTGGTTTCTATGACAACAGTCACATCTTTTTACTCTCTCTGAAGATTCCTTCTTCCTCAGATCACTCCCTAAATACTAGTTTCTAAGGGCTCAGGCCATCTTTTTCATTATTCCATATATTCTTCAGGATGACCTCCCAAACTCATGGCTTCATCTACCACCATCTATTTTCACACAATACCTCTTTTTCAAGTTCCAAACCTATGTTCCTAGCTCAACCCAGATTCCTAGACGTAACTCAAATTAAATCTAAAAGTAAATGTGTCCACACCTTTCCTCTTCTTTAGCCAAAAGTCTCTTCCAACATTTATTATCATATTAGTTATCTCTTAGGCACCCAGCCCATAAGCTTAGGCACTGTAATGGTTCTCAATCCTTATCATGGCCAAATGAATTCAGAAACTTCCAAGGAATCCGGATTTCCAGTTGCCACCCCAGTCCTGCTAAGTCAGAATTTATGGTGCTAAAGATGAGGAATATGTTTTCTAAAACCATTCTATTGAAGCTATTCCCCATAGGGGGCGCCTGGGTGGCTCAGTCAGTTTAGTGAAGCTATTCCCCAAACCAGGATCTGGTCACCACTCTTCTGGAAAAGTCCTTCTTATCCACTCCCTAAATATACACAATCACTTTAACTTGTATATTCTGCATCCTACACATCCTCTCAGTTTTTCTCTTCCTATACATTCACATTGCTATTGGCTCAGTTTAAGGTTCCATAACTTGTTGCCTGGCTTATTGCCATAGTCTTCAAAATATGTCTATACATTTGATCCATTCCATCCTCCAATCTATCCTTCACATTTGTCTGACTTCTTTTCTCAAGAAGACACACACACATACACACACACACAAACACAAACACACACCTCCCTAATGAAAGCTTCAATCTATCCCTACTGCTTTCAGGACAAAGGGTCAAGCTCCTTGATTTATCATGTAAGAATCATGATTTGGCCTCTAAGTCTTTAACCTCATCTGCTTCTTCCTCATATATACTTGATACCCCAGTTCTAATGAACTGTGGCACCTAATGAACAGTGTCTCTGATGTGTTGTATTCTCCTTTACTTGTTGCTTGGCTTTTGCTGTTTCCTCTACATACAATGTCGTTCCTCCATTTCCTGTATTTCTAAGTTTTATTCATCCTTCAAGACCCAACACAAATAACACCTCTGCAGGGAAGCCTTCTCTGATACACTGTGATTTAAATATCCAATGTTTGTGCTCACATGATAGCCTCTATATACTGCTACCGGAGTACTTATCACTCTCTATTAAACCATTTGATATTCTTGTTTTATTCCTCCTCTAAACTATGTGTTACTTGAAAGCAGGAACCATGTCTAATTCATCTTTGCATCCCAATTGCCTAAAATTCTGAATGAATTAGCCATCAGCCATAATGGAAATGAACAACTATAAATGTTATGACAGCGGTTAGCTAGCATTTACATTTATGAGTTTTCATCGATAATGGTCCAAGTCTTGTCAAGGTCCTTCTAGATCAAACCATAGCATTACAAAATATTACTTTCTTTCTCACCTTCAAGCTTAGAAAGGCAGCATAGTGTTTTGGTTAAGAACATGGACTCTGGAGTCAGACTGACTGGGTTCAAATCCTTGGCTCTGCTACTTATGAGCTGTGTGACTGTGGGCTAATTGCTTAACTTTTTCATGTTGCCCCATTGGTAAAATGGAAGTAATGCAAATGCCTACTTCGTGGGATTGTTATGAGGTTCAATTGAATGAATATAAGTGACATATAAGTGTCTGGTAAATAAAATAAGTAGATACAAGTAATGAGGCACTTACCTATTAGGCATAAGACATGTGAGATACTCATAAATCCTGCAAAATGCATGTTATCCATCTGCATGGCATTTCATTTTTTTTCTGCTGTCCCTGCCATCATGCAATCACCAATGGTCTCCTCTTCATGTGTCTGCCTGCTTGCTTCTTCCACGGTATACTTCTTTAATTTTACCTACACTATCCCCTTTGGTCTTGGTAAACAATGCAATTTTATTCAGCAATTCAGTATCTTCTATTTTAATCTGGCAATTCAGTATCTTCTATTTTAATCCAGCAATTCAGTATCTTCTGTACCATGTCATCTGATTATCTTGTTTCCTTTTCTTCTCGTTTTTTCATAGTTTTATTCTCAACTTTCTATTAAAATCTTATTCTGAGTTGAGTGAGCAGAAACTGAAGCTCATTGTCCTATAAAGCACAAGTGTAGGCCTTGAAAATATAGTAAATATTTAGGAAAACGACCCTGATAAATATTACCTAATCTCCATACAAGAGACTCATCAAAAACACAAAATTGGTTTGTACTCAAAGAAGTAGATTTAATCATTTCCTTTTCAACCAATACATTAACGGGGTTCAGAGAGATGATCTCACTTCTTAAATATATACAGATATATCTGAAGTGTTATTATATGTACTTACATTTGTGAGGAAATGCTCTCTTCTGGAATGTAGGGCTCTTATGTGGTCACAAAAGTATAACTCACAGAATCTTGTGGGTAGAATGGGTCAATAGTCTCTCATATGATTCTCTGAACCATGAGGCAATATTGATCCCAACTGGACAAGACTTTTCTGATTCTTGCTTTCATTTCACTGTCATTGTCTCTTCCCCAGGCCTTCAGGTTTCACTTTTCCTTCCAAGTGGTTACTGCACTACACAGCCCCTAATTTGCCTTTCCCAATCTTCCTCTTCATCCCTCAAATACTGATTATTCACAGTTCCATCAGAACTGTCTTTTTGATGATACTGAATTGCTGACCAAGTCCAGCTCCAGGCCACAAACCTTAAGTAGCTCCCTATTACCTGCAGAATAATATGCAAGCTATTTTTAGATGATATATGAGATGTTTCAAGAAAAGGCAGTCCAGGGTCTGGCTCAGGCCACATTTTGAGTTAATCTCCCACCACATCCAATCTTCTGTCAAATTCTATGACTCCTATTCCCTGGACGCATCCTGTCTTTTCCCCAAGCATGTCTTTTCTCGTGCTTTTCCTTTCCCTGGCAAGGTTCTCTCCTCACGTCTTCCAGTCAAAAGCCTATTCTTTATTAGATTCTAATATGAAAGCCACCTCTTTGATGAAACTTTCCTTGATAACCTCACATTCCTTGTCTTGGTGACAGTCTCTTCATCACATGTGCTCCAATAGTACTTTGTCCTTCACCACAGAATTTGGTACATTGTGCTACCGAAATTACCCTTTGACAAATTGCTTCCTCAATGTGCTGAAACTCATCTAAAAACAATGCTTACCCACTTCTGAATCTCAGAACCAACGAAACAATTTTATTCCTAACTGGGATCTGAAAACTCCAGTTTAATTTGGAGATGTCTCTGATGCTATCATTTTATGGGGAGTAATCCCAGTTTACCCATAATAGATGATAATGATTGAGGATGATGTACTGGAGGATGAAATACAAAGTTGAGCAAATGGTTATAAAATGTGGTTCTTGCCAAATCTAAATTCAGTAAAATTGTTTTCAAAGGAAACTTGGATTTATGTTCTTAATTACTGGCTCAATAATGACAGTTTTTTGAAAAAGAACACAATGAAACAGAGAATTTGCCAACTAGGGCAGAACAAAATTCCCGGTCACTCTTGTAGTAAATCACCCACAGACCTCACTGTGAAGACTTGGCTGCATAATGAACAATTTCAAGGTTGCAGGGCCAATGTTATAAGCACATCAGAGGCTGAGTCATACTAAGAATAATGACATCAAACTAAAAAGTTACTTTGAAGAGCACTACTTCATTTTTAACAGTTAGCACCTTTGGTACTAAAAAAATTCAAAAAGCAAACACACAAAAAACCCCAACTTAATAACTGCCCACATAATAGGCTCTGCTAAGCAGGTTTCTTCAGCAAGTTCCAAATGTCTCCTATAAAAGGAAGAACTCAAGAAAACCAAAAGAGTCTCAGACTCATAAATTAAAGAGCAGGACTGAGCGATTATCTAGAAAATGGAAGCTTAAATTAACATTTACTTCTACTATCTGGTTTCATCAGTTCAAACATTGACTCTTTGAAGGAAAGGCCTCTGTCTTACATTTTTATCTTACACATCCACTAAACACTGTATTGAGCACATAATAAGCACTCATGTTCAATAATTACATTTTCCTTAATAGTGAGATAACAGGCTGAATTTCTCCACCTCATATTCCAAGTATAGACACTAAGAAATCTTGTTTTTTAAGTCTGAAATATCAATAAATGGCCCACCTTATGGGCTGAATTATGTCTCACCAAAATTCCTAGGTGGAAGCACTATCTCCCAGTACCTCAGAATGTGGCTGTTTTTGGAAACAGGGCCTTTATTTTAAGAGTTAACTAAGTGAAAATAGGGCCATTAGACTGAACCCTAATCCATTTGATTTGTGTTATGTAAGAAGAGATGAGAACACAGACATCATGCACAGAGGAGAGCCCATTTGAGGACACATCAAAGCAGCCATTCCAAAGCCAACAAAAGAGGCCCAAGGAGAAACCAAACCTGTAGGCACCTTGATCCTGACCTTCCAGCCTCCAGAACTATGAGAAATAAATTTCTGTTAGTTAAACCTCCCAGTCTATGGCATTAAAAATGTTTTAATGTGTATTTATTTTTGAGAGACAGGGAGAGAGAGAGAGAGAGAGAAACAGGGAGAATGTGTACAAGCAAGGGAGGGACAGAGAGAGAGGGAGACAGAATTCGAAGCAGGCTCCAGGCTCTGAGCTGTCAGCACAGAGCCTGACATGGGGCTCAAATTCACAAACCACAAGTTCATGACCTGAGCCAAAGTCAGACACTTAACCAAATGAGCCACCCAGACTCCCCTATGGCATTTTGTTATGGCAGCCCTAGTAAACTAATGCAGCCCACAAATTATGAGTACTGATTTTAGAACTCACTGTCAGAAGATTTAACCATTAAACCTGGCCCATATGCTTAGATCTATATACCACATATTTTCTTGTCTCCTTTTTGTTTTTTCAAAACATTTTTTAATGTTTACTTTTTTTCTTGTCTTCTTTTTGTTATGAGAAAGGGAGAGAAAATTTACTCTTCATTTTGAAACTTTACTAAAATTTGCCTGTCACCAACTTGAGGTTGAATAGGAAGCTTCGAAGGAAATATATCAACGAAGTTTTAAAAGTATGATGTATAGGCTCTGGGGAGTATTATTGTGAGTAACCACTCAGATAACAATTGGAGGAATCTCCAAATTCCACAATTATTGCAAGAATTATCAACTCATCAGCCCATTCCAGGTTGGTTCTGTCTGGTCAGTTTGAAATGCACCAGTTAGGCCCCCTCAAGCCAGCTCACACCTTGTGCCCACCCCATCCCATCCCCTCTCACCCCCTCCCCAGGGTCACCTTCCAGGTGGCAAACCCACCTCCCTGGCCTGTTCCAGTGGAGGCGGGGGGTGGGGCAGCTAGAAAATAAAGATACCAACTCAAAGGCTCTATGTTTTCCTCCAAGGAGAAGTCAAAACTGGGGGGGGGGGGGAGAGAGAGGAAGATCCTTAAAAGTAAGCATAGAAGAGGCAGATGTTGTTTTTAAGAAACCCAGAAGAGGCCCAGGCTGCCTCCCACCTCCAACCCAGATTCACCTGAGAAACTGTGGCAGGAGCAACCCACCAGCCCAGCTTTATACATACCCTTTTTTGCATCCATTCAATCTTTCACCCCAACCAGATGTGGCTGGAGATAGTTCCACTGACTGGAAGGACAAAAAGAATCTAAGATTTAAAAAACCTATGTGTTTCCTGTTTCATCTCCCCTCTCTATACAAATTTTAATTTCCAGCCTGTCAATACCTCTGCCTGTACTTCTTTCTTTTCTCTTCTGGCTCTGGTAGTCATTTTCACCCAACCAGCCACCTCCAGCCCTATTACAACACATCCTGTGTCCATGGAAAGTTTCCAGAACTTTCCCTACCTTGAAAAGGTCAGTTTTCTCTCTCCAAAGAGAGGTTTCACCCACATACTTATGTCACTAAAAAATGAAAGTGACTCACCAAATATCATAGATATAAAAACAATTATGCTGAAAGATCAGAAGGAGAAAGAAGCTACAGAAAAGATCAAGGATAAAAGAATTGGGAATAGTGACTTTGCTTTTCTTGTTTTCTTTCTTCCTTTTGTACATTCCTGGAAACACAGAATTCTGAAAAGAAGCTTAAAACTTCCTCCATTCAGCTTGTAGGCATGAGTGTAAGTCAATGGCCTGTATTTGAACATTTGGAAAAGGCTACTATCATGCCTTACGGCATTAAAAAACAAAACAAAACAAAACATTCTTATTCCTAAAATCAAGAAATTACCCATGTGATTTGTAAGATCACCCTTCACCATTGTATTTTGTAAGTTGGATAGCAGGTTGGACACCCCGCCCCCATACACACACCATTCACACACACCATAGAATCATAATTTTAAAACAACTGACTCTATTTTTTCCCTTTTTTTCATTTAAAATTTAGTTACCATACAATGCAATATTGGTTTCAAGAGTAAAATTCAGTGATTCATCACTTACATAAACAACCAGTACTCATCACAAGTGCCCTCCTTAATGCCTATCACCCATTTAGCCTATTCCCCACTCACTTCCCCTCCATCAACTCTCCATTTGTTCTCTATCTTTAAGACTCTCTTGTGAGTTGTTTTCCCTTTCTTCTCTTTTTTCCCCTTTCTCATATGTTCACCTGTTTTGTTTCTTAAATTCTACATATGAGTGAAATCTTATGGTATTTGTCTTTCTCAATTGATTCATTTTGCTTAGAATAATACATTCTAGCTCTATCTACATGATTCCAAATGGCAAGATTTCATTCTTTTTTATGGCTGAGTAATATTCCATATTACACTTAAACACACATACATGCATCATATCTGCTTTATCTATTCATTAGTCAATGGACATTTGGGCTCCCTCCATAGTATGGCTATTGTTGATAATACTGCTATAAACATTGGGGTGCATGTTACCCCATAGAATCTGTAATTTTATATCCTTTGGGTAAATACTTAATAGTGCAATTGCTGGATCATATGGTTGTTCTATTTTTAGTTTCTATTTTTAGTTTAGTTTCCACACTGTTCTTCAAAGTGGTTGCACCAATTTGCATTCCCACCAACAGTGCAAGAGGGTTCCTCTTTTTCCACATCCTTGCCAACACCTGTTGTTTCTTGTGTTGTTAATTTTGGCCATTCTGACAGGTGTGAGGTGGTATCTCATTGTAGTTTTGACTTTTATTTCCCTAATGATGAGTGATGTTGAGTATCTTTTCATGTGTCTATTAGCTATCTGGATGACTTCTTTGAAAAGTATCTATGTCTTCTGCCCATTTCTTTACTGGATTTTTTGTTTTTTGGGTGTTGTGGTTGATAAGTATTTCATAGATTTTTGGATACTAACACTTTATCAGATATGTGGTTTGCA